ACTATTATTGTTATTAACTGTAAACCAGTGTTAATAATAATAAGTAAATTTAATTTAATAAGTTTTTAATTTAAAATTTAGATTAATTATATTAAATAAATAATTTTAATAATTTTAAACAATAATTTCAACAACAAAAATATTATTTTCAAAATAATTCAATATATATTTTTTTGAAGATTCTATTAAAATATTATAAACTGTAATACTGTTATATAATATACAAATAATTTATAAATTTATAATAATAATAATATATCTAATTGACTAAAAAAAATTAAAATCGGCTAATTAAGTAATTAACTAATAATATTAAATTATACACTAATTTTAATTAACAAATAAAAAACACATAGTAATAGCCAATTAATATATAATATAAAAATATTTAATTAATATATAAATTAATTAAAATATTTAAACAAAATTAGTCGATTAGCAAAATTAATTGTTTGATTAATTTTTTTCTAATAATTATATACTATTAAGTATTGATTTTTTTAATAAAAAAAAAATATGATATATTTAAATAATTTAAATTACGTTTATCATCGACAATAAATGTGGTAAACGCTGGTAAATGGCCAATAGGTATATGAGCTGTTTGTGATGATGATGATGTCGGTGATGTAGCTATGGGTATGGTTACCGCTTTTGTTGTTGACTGTCTAGATAGTGGGGTTACTGGCAAGGGAGGCGTTTTTTGTCTAATTTTTGGCACCGGTATCGGCGTAGGCGGTGCCGTCACTTGCCTTTGTTGTCGGTGTTGTGATTGTTGGCCACTAGTGTTGGTATTTTCGGGATCGTTATCATCTGAAACAATCGATGGCATCGATGTCGAGGCCATCGAGATTTATTAGGTGTGTCGGTCCTCACACTTATATATATATATATATATATATATATACAGTTGAATAGATAGGTTGATAAACAATAACCAAAAAAAACAGTTAGTTTTTTATTTTTAAAAAAAACTTTATTATTTAAAAAGTATCACTTTTTTGGTTGAGATTTATTTTAATCACAAGTTTTTTTTTAATTACTTTTAATCACTTTTGGTTTGTTTGCTAACAATTAGACTAATAATAAGTTTTAATACATTAAGTATATAATGTATATAATTATTTATTTTAAATATTTTTTTTTGGATACTTATTATGTAATAATATAATTAATATATAATTATTTATAGTTAGTATTATATTATTATACACACTATTAAGTAATAAACATTATTATTATTATTATACTACTTAATAATTAGGAGATTCATTATATACTTTATATATATATATTGTATTATAAATACAATGGTACTCAACAAATATTATTATTATAGAAGTTGTTATTACATGTATATTGAAAAGTGTTTTAATCAAGTGATCACAATTATAATCATTCAAAAAAGATAAAACTTATGGTATTATCCAACAACAAAAAAAAAACTATTCAATAATAATAATAATAATCACAAAAATTTATTGGTATGTAAAACATGACACAAGAGAGAGAGAGAGAGAGAGAGAGAGAGAGAGAGAGAGAGAGAGAGAGAGAGAGAGAGAGAGAGAGAGTTAAAGATAGATTAGATGAGTAATTGGCATACAATATGATTATATAATTTTTGACTTTTGATTTTTTTTTCGGCTCAAAAGTTATTACAATAATAGTAGTTAGAAATTATTAGTAGTATTAGTATTATAGTATTATTTTTGATATTATTATTATTAATAACATATGGATTTTTTTGGGGGGGGGGTGGATAGGGAGGGGGAGAGGAACTGGAGTTATGATGGAGAAGCTGTTATACGGTATATATATGTTTAATATTTTTGTTTTAGACATACACACAGAATCATACAGTAAATCATATACAGAATATCCTACTGTTTGTGTGTATATGTAAATGGTTTGGGATATATAGATATATGTATGTATAGTATATATATATATATTCTGTATATATATATAATATATATATATATATGTATGTATAGTAACCATTTATATAATCCCAAGTTTGCACACAGTTATGTATGGTTATGTTTGTGTGTCTATTAAAAATCGTTTCTAATATAAACAATTGGGAAATAATGTTAGGCCATACCCCATGTTATATATATATATATACAGTATATATCTATATAAATATATATATATATATTATACAACTTTCCATCATTTTAGTTAAGTCTAGTATAGTTGTTAAAAATAATGGCATATTTGACGGCACTATTTACTTACTCTCTCTCAGTCTCTCTCTCTCTCTCTCTCTCTCTCTCTCTCTCTATCTCTCTATTTTTAATATGATTTTAAAATCACTTTTTTCCTCCCCCTACCCCACCCAATATTTTCTACTACAAAATGTGCCAATAATTAAGTATATAATAATAATCTATAGTAAAAACATAGCCCCAATGGGTGATTGTCAAACAGTCAAACACTTTTATTTATATTATATGTATATTAAAAGTTATACATATACTGTATATTATATAAGATTTATATTATACAGTATTAGTATATTATAAACTTTATATACTTTATATAAATACACATTTGAATAATGTATTTAAGAGATTAACGACACAATATGTCATCAAAATTTTTTTTTGTATTTTGAAAAACAGTTTACATATTATTATATTGTATATTATCATAGTTTTGAAGTGGTATTTAAAACAAGTTTTTTTTAAAAATTAAAACAAATTTCATTATGACTTATTTACAATACTGTAAAAATTGTAGAGTAATTATAGTAAAAATATTTTTAAAAATTGAAAATCAATAATATTTGCATGTTAATTATTTCAATTATGATTTTTTATAAAATTTAAATATTAATAACAATCATTTTGATTAATTTATTAGATTTATATAGATTAAAATTTATTAGTATTATACCAATTTTATCATATCAAGATTATCATATTATAAAATAATATTTATTTGAATAATTTTATAATAGATAATAAATATTGTTATGATATATGATACTATTTTAATTTTTTTTAAATATTATTATAGATATATTTGTAAAGTGAATTTTAAAAAATACTATTTTAATAAAAATTATTAAACACACACACACACACACACACACACACACACACACACACACACACACACACACACACACACACACACATACACAGACATATATATACAATTACACATACATATACACACACATACACACACATACACACACATACACACACATACACACACATACACACACATACACACACATACACACACATACACACACATACACACACATACACACACACACACACTAACTAACTAACAGCAACAAACCTTTAACAGTGCTAATTAGCGACATTTGCGGGCCCTCCCGAAACTGTTTGGACGCCTTACGGTGACGACCCATTTCCAGCCACGAGGGCATCGTATCAAAGTAGAGGACCCGTTTGGTCGGCGACGGCGGCGGCACTGTTAGTCCTAAATCAATGTCGTCATCGTCATCATCATCACCAGCACTACCAATGCCAGCACCTGCACCCCTGGCACCTGGAGTTTTATAGGTTAAAACTTTTGGATCGTCCAGGTATTCAATGGCTTCCGCCTCCTCCTCGGGTATGGGCGACGGTATTTCCATGTTTTTGATGATACCGGTGCTCAAAACAATATGTAAAACTTTTTTTTTAATAATAAATTAAATCTTTAACTGTTGTAAACACTTATACATTAAAAACAAAAGCTTTAAAAAACTTTATAATAGTTTTATTTTCAAACAATTATATATATTTTGTTGTTGTTGTAGTTATCACAGTAAACAATATTATATTATATAGTAATATAAGTATTAATTTATATTAAATTAATTTATCAAAATATATTACACTTCCGGATATATAAAAAAAATATATGTATAACTTATTTATTGTTTTTGTCAACAAAAAAATATATAGCAATGTAATGATTGTTATGTATGTAATGATATGAATATTTTTTATATATATATAAATTATTATTATATAAAAGATAAAACTTTTTTATTTGTTTGTTAGTTTAGTTATACTTATTATGTATTCAATAATTTTATTGTTTATTGAATTATTATTTATTGTTTTTTTTCTATAAAACTTTTATGCCATTTATAAATTATTTTTAAAATAATAATAGTGTATAAAAAATTGTTTTGTTTTATAAAAAAAAAACTATTTTTCTATGATATATTTAATTAATGAAAAAAAATTTTTGTCATGTAATTGTAAATACAATTTCAAATTATACATAAATATTTGATTAACGAAAAAATATATTTAAAAAAAACTTTTTGTTTTTAAAAATTTATAGTTTTGTTTTTATATTCAATTATATTTATACATTATATTATATAACTAATATATTAATTATAATTTTATTTATTTTTTTTTTAAAATATGATAAAAATTACATTGTACATATTTGTGAAATTTTTATATATTTATATTTTTTATATATTAATTATATTTATACTGTTATATAAAAAACATATACTAATATACAGTATATAAATAATCTTAAAGTTTTTTTTG